CTGATTGTATAATCTTTGGATAATTATACCCCTGGGTTTTCTTACCTACACCCTCCTCTCTCCACATCACCTTACCCATGGACAGAGGGAGGTAGAGACTTTAAGTTCAAGAGGGGATGTTATGTTCTCTGTTAACCTATTTTTCATATCTAATCTGATTGTGAATGTTAGTATTTTTTGTTGATGATGACAGAGTATCTGACAATTTATTTGAAGCACCTCAACAAAAGCTGGAGCGAAATTTGAACCACTAAGAGAAATTTTATCTGGTGTAGAAAATTAAGTCAAATGTTGACTAATCATTAGAAAGCTCACCCTGCAGCTTGATTTCTCCCTCATATAACACCTTAACGTTTCTTCTTTGCCCTTCCCCTGTTTTCTTTTGCTTCCCCTGCCACCCGTCTGTAACATTCTAAAATTTGCATGATTTTAAAATAGGAAAAATGATTTAATTATGTATTTTTGTGAGCATTGAAATTTAGAAAAATAATAACTTTGTTAAAATTAAAATCAAATATAGGCCTACAAACATGTATGTGCATTCATGCTGCTGCATATTATTTTTGTATTGTGTGGTTTCAAATCAAACTTCAAATTGATTTGAATTTGCATTTCAAAATTTGTTTGGAAAATTAGAAAAGAAAAACAAAAAAAGGAAATTCTCTCCCTTTCATTTTCGGCCTGCTTCCCTCCCCGCCCAGCCAGCCTTGTTCGCTCTTTCCTCTCTCCAGCCCATGCCTAGCTGCGAAGCGCGGTGTAGATCTTGCGTGCCTTCCTCTCTCTCTGACGCCTAGTCCCTCTCTTTTGCTTACGCTGACAGACTGGGCCCCTAGTCAGCTCCGTCATCAACCTCATATCGTATTCTACCCGGACAGATCGTATTCTACCCGGACACTGAGCCGGTGTCCATGTCCGGCTCCGTTACGCCGCCCCCTCGATCTTGTGCCCCACGGGTGCCTGAGCCTTAAATAGCGAAGCCCTACGCCCGAGCCTTCCCCACCAAGCCCTAGCACAAGCCCTACGCCGCCAGGAACCCTAACTCCGCAGCCATCCCGAGCCGCTGAGACGAAGCTGAAGTCGCCATGTTGTTTTGTTGGTCCTCCGTCACGGTAAGCACAACTCAGAGCTTCGCGTGAAGTTCTTAAACCGGTTTAGCCCCGTATTCCTCTCTTTCTCTCTCTGTTATGGTTTTCCCCGCGCCGCAGTCGCTTTGTAGCCGGCATAGCCCATCGCCCGCCTTCTCTGCTCAGCAATAGCCGCCAAAGATCTCCTAGATGAATTGCTTTATCCCTAATCTATCTTCTGGTGTCTTTGGTTCGTCTCGCCATAGCCCGTAGGCCTAGATGCAACTAAGCCGGCAAGCTTGCTTGATTTCTGGCCATGGCGTCGCCGTGCTCGGTCCAGTTCCGGCCGGTCGATCACGCCAGCCCCTCCCATCCGTCCAATCTAAGATCAAGGGCCAGGATTAGAACATACCGATTCGCTTGGCAAGTTTGCAAAGGAGCCCCTGTAGTTTCGCGTAATAGAACCCGTCGTCCCAGGCCATAGCACCTTTCCAGAATACGTTTTCCTTTTCAGAAAGCGTAGTTTTCTTCGGATTAGATTCAAAATACGTTTTCATCTATTTACAGTTTTGCCACTAATCTTGTTTTAGCCATAAAATCTCCGTTTTAACTTCGATTTGACCCGTTCAACTTGCATTAGGTTCGTAATTCCATAATCTACATGTTCATACTACTGTTAGGTATGTTTTCAACTTTTAAAATTCGAGGTTATATTTAATCTATTATTTTACTAAAGGAAATCTTATTTAAATCATAACTTCTTTGTTTTAGCTCCGAATTTTGTGATCTTCGTGTCCGTGTGATCTTAGCAAGACGTAGATTCGTTTTACAAACTTTTCATCTTAATTTTATGCTGTTGGTGTACTGTTCTAATCTTGGTGTCTATAGTAGCTAGACCAAGGAGAGGATGGCGTCAAGCTCTGGTGCATCCACTACACACTGCATTGTAGACATGGTGATTCCCTCAAGGTTTGGAGAAAACTAGGAGAATTGTTTTTGCCCATGCTATGCATTTCGGTTTTATCTACATTCCAATTTGGTGTGACAAGTCTAGCAATTTATTTCCTAAAAGTATTTGTTTTAAGTTGCATTTAGTCAAACTATCTAGACATACTTTTCAAAATAAGGAAATTCTTGGAATTTTGATATCGTGTTTGCATTGTTTCATCGTAAAGGTGATCCTTTTATTGTTAATAATCTTATACTTTTTTTTATATAATTCCTATTATATTGGTTTATGTGATTGATTTCATATACTAACATCATTTGTATATTAAGAGCAACTCTTAGGACATATTTGGAAATTATTTCAAAATTTCAAAACTAAACTATGCTTAGTAATTGTTCATGTTTCTTTCCTTTGAAAATATTTCATCTTCTAAAACCAAGAGTCAATTTTAAAGTTACATACTAACATCATCTGTATGTTATTAAGAGAAAGTCTTAGGATGTATATAGAAATTACTTCTAAAAGGTCTTTTACTAAATTATGCTTAGTAATTGTTCATATTTCTTTCCTTTAGAACTATTTCATCTTCTAAAACCAAGAGAGGCATTTTAAAAGTTACAATTACATTCAAATAACTTTTCGGACGTTCAAAATTCATGGGTGGATACTTGAATTTATTCTTATATACTTTTTAATTCATCAATCTAGGTGATGAGGACATCACTTCTTCAGTGCACCTGCTGATCCTCCGATCATTATGTAAGGTCCAATAATCCGATCTCGAATGCGCCTGATCGGCTGTTTAGTTTAGGGACCGACCCCGTCCGGCATCCGCACGTCAGGCATGGGTTCATCCGACGATTTCCAGACGGACAAGTAGGTGCGGTGGATATACTACCGAGGCTACCATCTCGTGACGGACGGTTGGTTCTCTTGGACAAACCAAACAACATTTTAGGTTCGGACACAGGATTGGATGATTCCTGGCCGTGACATTGCGTGAACCAAAAGTGCTGTAAATTTAGAGGTGAGCATATTCTTAAACGATCATTTCTATACTTTTAAGAATATATTATTACTTAATAATGTTATCTTGCTCATAAACATTGGAGAGCATCATGAAAAACGTGGAGGAAGGAGTGGAGGTGGAGAAGATCATCAAGATGTCCAACACAAGCGGGAGGCCTAATCCAACTCTACTTCGAGTCTACCTTAGCCTTCAGGTCCAACTTGCAATAAAACAGACACCTAGGACACATTCGGACTCTATTTTCGGCAATCCACATATGGGTAGAAAGATAATTTCATAAGCTAACTAATGGCTTTAGTTTGAGGTCCAAATTCCACCGGAGTCAACGGGAATCATCGAAATAAGTCAGCGTCAGAATCTGTTAGGTGCTGCGTCACCGCTTTTGGTCCGTTGGGCCATGTACTGTCTTTGAGCCCGTTAGGGGGGCACATTCAGGGGGGCGACGACCCTTAAACCTTATAATCAGTCGCTGTCGCCATCGTTAGGTTTCGATTTTTGCTTAGATCATTCTATCATTGACAGTCGCCGACTATCGGTTTGTGGAACCCCACTTTGAGAACTTAATCATACATCTGCAGTTGTCCCATACTTTGAGCTACGTATTTTCGAGTTCTTGCTTGTGTTCTTCATTTCGCAGGCAGGGATTGGTCTTCTTAGCAAGATCAACCGGATTAGTAACACAGATTGATAACCATAGGTGTCGTGGTGCTAAGATTGCAGGGTTCGGATCTTTGAATCTGAAGTTGGATCGATGTGTCATGCTCCAGTAAAACGATAGTTATCGTCACCTGACAGAAGATCGGGATTCCCCATTCCCATCACTAGGTACGGCACTGCCCAAGTCCTAGCTTGCTGGTTTTCTTTCTCCTATTTTGTTTTTGTTTCATTTTTTCTATTTAATAACTTTAAAAACAGTAGAAGATTGTGGAAACATCATCAGAACTATTAAATAAAATTGTGGATCAATCGGAAATCACAAGGTTTTATTTATTGATCACCACTTAGTTATTATTGGCAGTTGTTGTTTTCTCTATCCTACTTTTGAAAGCCATAATAGTAAAGTCTAGTCCTATGTAGTAAATTAAACTTCATTGCACATCAAGTTCAAAATGGTCATATAACTTTTATTTATTGTTGTTTATAGGATTCAAACATCCTAGTTGTTGAGGCCGTTTGGTGCCATCTCTAATTAAAACAACTTCAGCTATGACTTCTATGATGAAATAGCTTTTTTCTAGCTCCAACTTCAATAATTAGAAAAACAATTGGTAAAATAACTTCTCCTAGTAAATAAAATGCATGAAATGCCCATTATGCTCTTCTATTTCTCTCTCTCTCTCTCTCTCTCTCTCTCTCTCTTCTTTCCTTTTTCTTCCTTTATTCAATAAACATAGGAATTTTATATAATTACACAAAAATCAGTTTATTTTCACTGGAAAACATAGATTTTTTTTTGAAGTGTTCCAAACAGGGCCTAAATTCCTATTCGAGAATGCAGGCAGGGAGTAAAGAGCCAATTGCATTTTTTACCATCAGGGCGATGAAAACGGCCTTAGGGTCCCCGCAATGAATTGAAAATATATAATAAAAATAGCGCAATTCTAGGCCGTAATCGCTGCCTTTCCGCGACCCCTCAACAGATAAGATTATTATAATCGCACAATGGAAACGATTTTGCACATACATACGAACAATCCAAAAGGGGTCCCCGAAAGTACATCCATCGGTCTTTCCGTCTCCACAAGCTTCTTCATCTTCTGCGTCCTCCTCTCTCCCTTCACCGCTTTCTTGACCCTCTCTTTCTCCCCCCACCCCGACGGAAAAGAAAGCTGCGAGCTTTCTCTCTCTACCCCAGGGAGAAGGGGAAGGAAGGCAGCTGGCACAGTCTATCGGCGTCGGGGGCCGGCAACTGACTAGGATCGAGAACTCGGGTTCTTGGAGGGAGGGCGGCCGGTCCATGGCGCAGCGGGGCGAGCTGGGGCGGCAGCTCCCGCTGAGAGGCCCCCTCAAAGCCCTAGAGGCAGACATCCACCACGCTAACGCCATGTAAGCATCTTTACCTCTCACCCCGCCCTGGATTGTGCGCTATTTTGGGCATTTCTCGCCTCCGGTTGTGCCTTGGATTAGATTTTTCTTATGACCATGCGCGCTGAAATTGGGGAAAGTGCCCAGTTTGGAAAGGCCGTAATTTGTCGACTCCCAGCGTAGGGTGGTAATTTTGTAAATTCACTCCAATTAATCAACGAAGAGAGTAATTTAGGGAGTTCACCTGCGGTTATGTTAGGAATTTGGGAAAAACACAATCGGTATGTTGGCCAGCCATAATCCATTGCATTTCTGAAGAATGCTGCTTTGGCGTAACGATTTTTCTCCCCTTAGGCCTTGTTTGGATGCGCATGTATTCATCGCAATTCACATGTGTTGAAGTGGATTGGAGTGGAATTGAACTAAATTCCATTCCATTCCACTCCAACACATGTGGATTGAGGTGGATACACATGCATCCAAACAAGGCCTTATGTGTGTTTCAATGCTGCTGTGATGATTGGTTAGGTTGGACGGTTTCAACTTACTGCTGGTTTGCAAATTCCAGGGCGGATGCAGTTCAGAGGAATTATGGTGGAGCATGTGTGCAGATGAGGCTGTCGTTCAGCTCCCTGGCTCCATTCTTTTTGTACTTCATCCAATGGCTGGACTGCGGCTGCTGTTATGCTCTTCCCAGCTATTTGGGACTGTTTCATATTCTCATATGCAAGGTAAAACTGCAATATGGAGTTTTGGAATTTGGACCTCTTATATTTGTTTCTCTGTACAGGAGGCCTGGGTTTCAGGCATTAGAATCTTTATGTTTTGTTTACGCAGGTTTATGCTGATGGAGATAGCTCAGTGTCAACATATGAAAGGCGGGCAAGCCTTAGGGAATTCTATGGTAATCTCTAGCCTATATGGGCATTTTGTAACCTCCACATCAATCTACTTTGGACTTGAATTCTCATAAGCTTCTTGCATTGCAGCAATTATTTATCCTATTCTGCAGCAGCTTGAGAGTACTTTGATCGAGAGGGACCTGAAGGGGAAGGGTCGATGCAAAGATATAGTGAGTAGGAGAAGGATGGAGGATTGGAAAAAGCTTTCTGGTAAGGATCTGGAAAGGGAGGATGAATGTGGGATTTGCATGGAGGCATGCACCAAGATGGTCCTGCCTAATTGCAGCCATGCAATGTGCATAAAGTGCTATAGAGACTGGTAATTACCTTTCATAATTTTTATAATCTGTATGTGAATTTGAACTGGCTTATGCAATTTGGATACGGATTCTGAGTCTAATAATAGGGCTACATTTTAGTTATTTAATATGTAGTCAATAAATTAATACAATGTATGTCCATGTGTTGCTATAACTTTTGTTTCCTTCTATTGGTAGCTTTGCTTAATGTTATCTTGTTGTTGGTATAGGTATAAGAGATCAGAGTCTTGCCCTTTCTGCCGAGGAAGCCTCAAAAGAATCCGCTCAAGAGACCTTTGGGTGCTTACAAATTACAATGATGTCATTGACCCTGCACATTTAGAAAGAGAAAACGTGAGGCATTTCTATAGTTATATTGACAGCTTGCCCCTAATACTTCCTGATAGTATTTTCTTTTTCTATTATGATTATCTACTATAAAGTGGAAGCAACATACATCAAATGTGTAAATTGTGAAAGCAGATGAAATTCATAGATGAATCACCCTCACTTCACTTTGACCACATGCATGTGTATTTACTCACAGGGTACTAATGTACATGAATAAAATAGTTAGGAGATATTCATTATATTGTCAAGTGAATGCCTTTTCAATTCTTTCTACCGTGCCCACATCATGGTAGATAAAAAATCTCTTGATTCAGATCCCTATCTCATTTTTTTTCTAGGCTTCTGTGAATGAAGCTACCCCATTTTCTGCTCATTTTCAATAACGTATTGTTTTAATTGTATCAAGAAAGTGCATCCTGACATGAACAGTTTTTTTAGCCAAGCATTAATTATTGACACAGGTTATTACATTTTATCATTTTGAAATATACCAAGTGTTTATTTGGAATTACAAGAGCAGATAAAGGTAAACTCTGGTTGTTATCAAATTGATTGGACTGAATGAATTAACTGTGTATCTCTGTTTATATATATTCAGTCATACCTCCTGGGTCCTAGCACTGGAGACAGGTCATGGCACGAGAAGTTAAATGTCTTGTGTACAGTACTTACAAAATCCTCTGCTAGAAATGACGCAGCTGTGCATCTGCGATGCGATCTGGTTTAACGAAATGTATGGATACGGTCGGATTTGTGGCAATTTAACATTTTCTTCAGGAACTGTGTTTTCACTGTTGTGAAATCACGACAACAGGTGGAGCTTCTGCTTCAACGAGATCTTTCTTTGATCCTACTATACTACGTACTGTATATCGTTGTCTTAATTTATTTTGCAAAAAGGAGATAAAAACTGAAAAGGGGAAGGTATTTTACATTTTTTTTCTTTCTAAATAAGCATGGTTGATCATAACTTGAGAAATTTCATTCTTTTTTGGAAGTGAAATTAGAATCATGGTTCACTTACAAAGTTAATTAATCTGATGTATTACTATAACCTTCATGTGTCATCATAATACATTTGAGTCTTGTATCTTATCTTTTCTAAAAAGGTTGATAGTTTTTATTTACAGCCTACGGTAATAGAGAAATATTTGGGCGACCTATATTATTCATTGGACTAAAGAGGCCATATATAACCTTTAAATAAAATGGGTTGATTCATGACAAATTGAATTTTGAGGCCACGAGATTGGTCCAAGGCCAGGTGCGGGTCGGCCCTCATTCCCATCCCACGCTGTAAGGCATTGAGAGAAGACGGTTGGACAAGAATGGGCTTTTCTTTTAATTGTAGATGCAGTTTCTATACAGTGTGGGCTTTTAACAAGATGAAACGTAGGCCTGCTCGTTTACATTACAGTGGGCTAATATGACGCCTGTGGGCCATGGCCTGCAGCAGGAGGCCACCGTTGTTTTTTATTATAAGGCAGAGGAGGGAGAGGAAAAGCTGGGCTCCTGCTCGGAGGTGTCGGTAATGGCATAAATCGCAATTGGGTGAATGCAGAAGGAAAAAGTCTATTTTGCTTTCCTCAACTATCAAAAAAGCCAGCTTTTTCTCCCTCAATTCTAAAAGCGAGAATAGTTTCTCCTCCATCTTTCAAAAGCGGCAACTTGATCTGTGTCTGGTTTTCCTTTTTTTTTCTTTCATGTTTATTTCGGCTGAATTACTGAAAAATCATAAAATAGAAAAATTCAATTGTGTTGGACTCCACATGAGTAGATCTAAACACTGAACACATGATATGATATGTTTTAGTATAAAATTTTTGCTGTAACTTTAAGTCTATGCTTTTCTATAATTAATTCTTAATTGCAGTTTTTATGGTGGGCTAATCATTTCATGCTTTATCTGTAGACCTAGATAAATGTATAACTCAGTCGTGCATGATCCAATGATCATGAAATATCAAGCATGTAATGATTAGCCCACCATAAAAATTTCACTATTGAACCATAGAAACTATAGTTATGAATTAATTACATAAAAGTATAGATATAAAGCTACAACAAAAACTTTGCACTAAAGTATACCATATCATATGTTTATTGCAGAGATATACTCATGTGGAGTCTAGCAAAAAAAAATGTGCTCAATGGATCATGTATGACCAAGTTATAGATTTAATTTCATTTAAAAACTATTTAACAAATATAAACCTATATAAATTTGTAACTCAATCATACATGATCTAATGAGCATGAAAAATTTACTACACCTCAAGCATGCAATGATTAGCCCACCATAAAAATTTCACCACAGTTGGACTAGAGAAACTGCATTTATGAATTAATTATAGAAAAATATAGATCTAAAGTTACAACAAAAAACTTTGTACTAAAACATACCATATTATATGTTCACTGTGTAGATCTACTCATGTGGAGTCCAACACAATTGGATTTTTCATTTTAAAATAGAACTAAACATATTCGAGGTTTAATCAAATTATGTAATTTCATTTTCCACGTAAGAAAATCAATACAAAGGCATGAAATTTAACATTAAAATTATATTCAATTGTAAAAAACATTATAAGATCACACATATCATTCTCTGAATGGAGAACAAATTAAATAGATCTTGAAAAATTGTATAGAAATATTAATATTATTCATTCTATTTAGTATTTTCTTTATAACCAAAATGGAAATTTTAGGATGTAATATGCTTGGAAATGTGCGAGAGATGGCTATTGCAGAACTGCATGAGACACTCACATACATGCACATTCACCTCTATAAATGCAATCATAGACACCTTATTCCTATGAGTACATCCGAATGCCTGAGCCGACAGATCTTAGCTTGGCGAAGTCTTTTTACCATTAGCACCTTGTTGTCGATGAGCACATCACTTACCATTGAAAGAATAGACTTAGAATAAATCTAGAAAATTGCGAGCACTCGAATTAAGGACTTTGAACATGGGTGGACATGTTCAACCACAAGAAACCTAACTAGGTGAGATACACTGGGTTTGTGGAACACCTATCATCACTAACATAAAAATGCTAAAAAAAATTAGCTTTGACTATATATGGTGATCACTTTGCACAGTTTGACTTGTTAGATATGCTGGTTTGGGATGCATTTGTTTATATTGACTTGTGCATTAGAGGTAGGAAAGATACTTGGAGGTGAATGACTGCTACCTTAATCTTGAACAGTTTAGAGCAAACATTATTTCTTTAGACCCTATTTAAGGCCTATTCGCTTGGAGGAATTCTGGAGAAATTTGGATGTTTTGAGAAATGCTGGAGGAATTTGTGAGAGAAAAACACTGTTTCGAATGAAAAAAGAAGCGGATCAAGCCGGGTTTAACGGGCACGCAAACGGGGCCTTAGTAGGGTTTTTGTTGTGGCTTCTCCATTGGCTTAATCAAAACCCTATTAAACAGAACACATGAGGAACGACTTATGAAGCCAAAACCAAGCCACAATTAATGAAGCCAAAGCCATTTTTGCCAAGGACCTGAAGCTAGAAAAATGTGGCTTTTTCTGTCTTCTTCACTTTTATTTTCTTCGGGTGAGGCATATATATAGGAATACAATTATATAAAAGGTTTGTAGCGACCAGACAGGTGATTTTTTTTTCAGAAAAATGTGCATTTACCTGGTAAACACTCAACCATATAAGAATAGCAAAAACACGGCGGGCGATCCAACCATACCCAATTTTTTATTCCATCGAGTCACACATGAATACAATTGCAAAAGATATTTGAACTCAACACAATATTTTATTTATTCAAGCAAATGCATTTCTCCCTGGTAAGCACAAGAATATGACCATAAGAATATTATATTATTTTAAAAAGCACGGCGGGCGGTCAGTGAAATTAATGCACAAGAGAGTAGTAGCGAACTGAGCTGGGCAAGTGAGAGACAATCAAAGGTTCGGTGGCTTAACGACAATCTATATCCTCGTTGTGACGAGTCCTAAGATGAGTGATTTGTGCACTAACTAGATGCTCAAGTGTAGGATCTTTGGTTAGCGTCCAGGGGGTTGAATAGGTCCTGCTAAAATAAAACTTGAACAGATGTCAAATTTGACCCGTAGCACTGCCGCTCTATCCTAGCAGCACTGCCTCTCTGCGGCACTGCCGGGCCAAAACAGCGGACACTGCTTGTAACAGAATCGTCCAATTTATAAGAGCACAAGTACAATGGCAGCCGCGGAGCGGTCGCACTTTCATACTTGAGCCCATATAAACCCGATAGTCCGTCGAGTACCATGAAGGGTCTCGATTCGTCGCCAACATACAACCAAGATCGTACATGATTCAACATACATGCCACATATTACATAGAGTTCACAAATACATTGCCATACATCAGAGTGTGATTAAAGTTATTACATACCAAGTTCAAATAGAGTAGTAGCGGAAGCAAAGTAGTTTTTAAACCAACACCTCACACCATGGTTCAAATACTTGCCAGTCTATGATCACAACCCACAAAAGCTTCATAGCTTAGATATATAAATGGAAGCGCTTTGCCTGGTCCTACTCCTCATCCACCGCGGGACAGAAGCGGTTCTTATAGTAGCCATGATAAACAGTGTTATCTGCAACAAGTGAGAAATAAACCCTGAGTACAAGAAGGTACTCAACTAGACTTACCCGTCATAAACCAAAAATAAAGTGACTCTAAGGATCATGCAAGGATTTATAAGTGGAGCTAGCTTGATAACATTTTGCATAAAAAGCCACTAATTTAGCTATATATTTTATAATTCGGTCATCAAGTTAATTATGGCTATTCATCTCTAGATTAGCAACTAACCTGTGTCAAACTTGTGATATATCCGTAGTGACACAACAATAGTAACCATAACAATTTATTATATCATTCTCAGAACCATTCCACTTGTCATTATCACTACGATAGAAGAAAGCGCAGTCAAGTTTCTCACTATCCGGGAGAGACGGCGATTCGAATCGATTGCAACCAGCTGGACATTATTTCTAACATAAACCCAGGTCTACCAGCCATGATAGCCTTAGGTCACCTTTGGTACAACTTAGGTCCAATTCACGAGTTCGATCAGCGTCGCACCCTTAGGGACACTACCGGATGCCAGGTCGATCATGACTCTAACCTGCCCTTGGCCTCACATTGGCTCCCTAGCACATCCTTACTACCTCTAGTGTGCGCACTTTGACAGAATGAGGCCCGATCTGAGTTGAGCTACTTGGCTTCGCGGTCAGAACGAGTTATCCGGCCAGCTAAGTGAGAGGCATGCATTAAAAATGACCGAGGACCAACAACGATGACGGTCCTTAATCGGCATAGACAGAAATCACATGAGTTAACCTACAACATAAACTCCGTCCGGCCTAGATTTACAACCTCCCATGGTTCTTTTATACGATAGCAAATATAGCCAATCGTGGTTCAGTGTCCACCTATATTTCATAGGTGGCAGGAAATTACCCGACTTCTACTGAGCTAAGCATTATTAAGCAGTTATTCGATCCTAGACCTACATAGGATTCAAGATATATTTCTGGACAAGGTAGTTCTATGCATCAAGTGTTTCCGATCAACTCTTATAACATAATGCATCAAACATAAATGACTCAAGTGATATTTTATAAAACATAGAAGGCTTATAATGCTCCGGGGCTTGCCTTTCAGGAAAGAAGTGGGTCAGTGGTTAGGGCACTCT